AATGATATGCCTTCAAGCATGTGCTACATCAAGGTGTTGACAGCATCATTTTTCCAAGAGATGAACAAGCAAATTTAAGTAGTTTCCAGTGGTAAATATCTTGATTACCAAGGAGCAGTGGGATGCAAAGCTTGGCCAGTGGAAACAACTGATTGATAGCTTCCTTTTAACATTCCTGCCTTTATTTTCCCCTGCATGGCTCATTATTCTGCCGCATTAATTTAAGATTTCCTATTGTACTGAACTAGGGCCTTAAATTCTCTTATCACCCCTATGGGAATCTTGATTGTTTATTTGTAGATGACAGTAATTGTTTTTATCGATCCCCAAATGTGGAAGGTATAAGAAGTGCCATGGCCGATAGCCAGCTGGTACATAGTTAGTGCCGCATGCATGAGTGACAAATTACAAGACAATATTTGGCCCCAGAGAAGACCCTTTTAGAATTTTTTAAGGCATCTAATAGTTATCTCTAGGTCTCTCCAAGCTGAAAAAAAGCATAAACAGTTTCATGTATGTCAGCTCCACTCTTTCTGTTCTTGTTTTTATTGAACCTCAGAAAGTTTACTTGGATGTAATTTATATTTCCTCATTTCTAGTATGTTCTCACAGCAGGAGAGTTTGGAAATAGTGCGGCTACAAGAATTCCCAGAGCCAGCACCATCCAGGCCAGTGAGTTCCCTTAGGGACCCAGGTCACAAGGGCATTTATTTGGAAGAATTCTTGGATTAATCTAGCAGTTGCCATTATTCCACCTCAAGCATCATTGTATGGACATTGGCTCTGAGTGTTTTCAGAAGAAACCACTTTGCCAGCCCCAGTGTGTCCTGTGGGTAGGAAACCTCACGCGATTTCACATCCCAAGAATATCAGAGACACCAGGGAAAGAAAATGCAGCTGTCTAACTAAGTGCTGTTTGTAGACAGGGCACTTGGGCAGTTTGAGCCTCCCCAATCTGAATCAAATGCAGCACAACTTGCTCGAAGAGCTTTTGAGCTGGTTGTTATGATCTGTCTATCCAGAAACAGAACAAATCAGGCTGGGCTTAAACATAATCAAGTATAAGAAAGGTGGTAAAATTTCCTTGTTTTGTGGTGAGATGGAAAGATCTTTGACCAGATGCCAAACCCTGAAATTCCTGACCCTATCTTCCTGTGGTAAAGAGAAGATAGATATGCAAAGGAGCCACTTTGACAATTGTCTTCTATTTATCCTCGGAGGGTTCTGTTGCCGCTGAACTCTCAGAAATGACTATCTAGGTTGGACCAGATGAGCCGGGGGAGCTTGTTCTGCAGAGAAGGGGTCCATATGTCATACCAACAATCCCCCTCCTTTATCCTGGAGCTATAATATTACCTTGGTCCTTGACAGTTAGCAACCCTGTGGATGGACTCACCCCTAGAAAAACACATAGGAAGAAAAACAATTTTCCCTAATTTAGATTTATTTTTTTCTCTCACTCAATACTATGGTCCAGTTGAGTCCTCGGTCTTGGACAGCCATTCTAGCACCTTCCATGAGCAGCAGTGTGAAGGAGGAAGACATGGAGCTCCTCCCCACAAAAGTTTAGTGACTATAGCCACTATGATTGCAGGGTAAAAACTGTGCGCCCTCTTTACATTCACCCCAGACATTTAGTGGCATGCCCAGCACACAATTGGGCATTAAATGTGATCTGACTGATTAGTATGTTTGTTAAGTACATATCCAACGTGCATGGAGCGTGCTATTGTTGAATGGCTAAAGGTTAAAACAGATTGACTATTCAGGGTGATGAACAAAGAATCATTTGATTTTAAAATTGGAAGAGGGGCCTGCTCCATGGCCGGGTGGTTAAGTTCGCGCGCTTCGCTGCGGTGGCCCAGGGTTTGGATCCTGGGTGTGGACACAGCACAGCTCGTCAGGCCACGTTGAGGCAGTGTCCCACATCCGACAACTAGAAGGACCTGTAACTAAGATATACAACTATGTATGAGGGAGTTTGGGGAGATAAAGCAGAAAAAGGAGAAAAAAAAAAGATTGGCAACAGTTGTTAGCTCAGGTGCAATCTTTAAAAAAAATAAATAAAAATAAAATTGGAAGAAACTTTAGATTTAAGTTAGTTCAACCATCTCATTTTAGAGCCAAGGAAGCTAAGATGACCCAAAGAGGCCAAATAAGTTGTCCAAAGGCTCATATTCGAGTAGTGGCAGAGCTGGAATGTGAAGTCAGGTATCCTGTCAATTCTGCACGGCACTTGGATACTGACTCCAAAACACAAGAGCTTGTGCTTTATTGCCCTGTAATATTGGATTAATGGTTTTAACATGCGTGCCTCCCCCACTAGACCGTGTGCTCTTTAAGAAAATATTCATCATCAGCTTCTCACATAGTCAGTGACACATAATAGGATCCAAATAAACGAAAAAGTGAATAAATGGGTGAATGTGAGACCTGTTTTTTCTCATCAAGTGTAGACAAATTTTTAGTGATCTCTACTGGTTTGGGGTCTGACTAGTAATGAAAAAGGATAGAGAGGAAAAAAATGTAGAAAAAGTATAATGAGAAGGCAAAGAAAAAGGGGTATACAATTCAGTAGGAATAATAACCAGAAGAATCCAGCATATAGAAAAAATTTCTGGGTTCATAGCTTTTAGTCAAGACTCTTGCCTTTTCTGATCTCCCCCAATTTTCATATAAGGACTTTCTAATCCGATGGTGCTGTCAGCAGTTCCCATCGTGGCTGCTCCTGCTCAGACCCCAGAACAGGATTGACTGCAAGTGAAGTTGTGCAATCAGCAAAGTTGCTCATTAGTGTATTTCATGTCCCTGTGGTACATCTTCCTATCCATTTGGCACCCATTCCTAACCCACGCGTCTGCTATTAGTTCTATCACACAGGAAAGTGCGTGTAACTCAATGTGATCGTGTTTCTGGAATATTTTCCACTTAGGAGACACACCAGGAGATACAAAGGAAGTCTTCTTTCATTGTGGCATTTCAGATTCAGTGAGAAGTAAGCAGAGGGGATGGATATACATAAGACGGGTTTGGTTCTCCTTGCAAATCACCCAAAGTGAATGAAAATAAAGATTAAAATATCTAGTTATCAATCCCCACTGTGAGTTTATGTTGCTCCTGAAATGCTTGTCTGCTGTAAGTAATTTGATACTAAGCAGAGCCTGCTTAAAAAAAAAAAGGAAGAATCAAAGGATTCATAGTCCTAATTATAGCAGACTGATGGCTTGGTACTGGAGACTGCATCAACAATATTGGGCATCAGTAGGGAGCAGCTACTGGCTGGAGGGCTATACCCAGAGAGTGGTTATCAGTGACTAAGTGTCAGTTTGTAGGAGAAGAGCTGCCTGTGCTTCAGTATGCCAAGAAGTCTAGATGCAAAGTCGGAAATTTAGGTTTTTTTAGAAGTGGTACTACACAATTGCCAAACAATCTGGGGTGACCCAAATGCTCCCATGGGAGAGTTTTAAAGAGACAAGCAGTCATCTGTTTTGGATGGATTGAGTCCCCTTGGCTAAAGACAAGCATGGAGATGCAGCTTTTCATCAAACATTTCCTTGAGCCATTTGGAACTTGGCAGACCCCTCCAATGAGCACTGCATCTGACTAGAGCAGCCACTCTCCCCCTTCAGTTACTACGCTTCCCATCCTTTCCTTAAACATACCAAGCACACTTCCATACTGTGCTTTTTCCATTATTATTTCCTCTTCCTGCTGCCCACTGTGTCTTACTATCAGAATTGCCAAGGAAAACACAACACAGTCAAGGGGTGGATGGAACAATACTTTACCCACACAGAGAAGCGACAGAGAAAGATCAGCTCCAATAGTGCGTGTTGGTCCCCAATGGCCATTGGGTCCTTCTTGGCAGCTGATTCAGAGCCACTGGCCTGCATGCAACCCTCTTGTGACACAGAACAAAAGACCTCAACCTGTCTTTGCAGGGGACAGATAGAGTAGTGGGGCTAGCCAGGTGCCATATGATACATATATCATTAAGCAAAGCAAAGGAGCACACATTGAGTCTGAAAAAGGGAAGGATGTTCCCACCCAGGCAACAAGCCTGGAACAGGCTGTGAGGGCTCCTTAGCTCTTGTTAAGGAAGTTTTTCAGGCCCAAGGTCCATTCTTAACGTGGCCAAGACGGGGGTCGAAAGACTGCACACATGAGACGGTCTTTCCCACGAATGTCCACATGGCTTCTTCCCACCCCCTCCCATTTTTTTTCAGATCTTTGCTACCATTATCAAAGAGGCCTTCCCTGGCCAACATTTATAACAGATCCACCTCCAAATTCAATCCTCTGGCCTCCATGAAGACTGAAGCTTCGGTGGTTTTGATAACTGCTGTATCCCCAGCATCTACAGCAATTGACACATAGTAGGTGTTCAATAAAAACAGGTTGATGAGGTTGGTAACATGGGTCTTACAAAGGAAAAGTCTTGTCTCACAACGCCTGGAAAGCAGTGAAGGGAAGCTTTCCAGATGCTTTCATAGACCAAGTCATTCACCTACACTACATCCAATTTGAACTTAGAAACCCAACAGGCCTTAGAGAGAGTGATATGTCCAGAAAAACAAGATAGCACCATTCTCATTCAGTTCCCATCAAGGCTCCAAGCAACTTTTAGAAAACCTGTCTTCTGATATACAGCAGTAGCTTGTGTCTTATGGAAAATTAAATAAATTATTTTTCGCCCAAAGGGAGCAGGATTATTTGACTTCAGTTATTTGCCATATGGCTTCTCTTCCATGCAACATAGCTTCTAGGCTTAAGGTAGTAAGAGTGAGAGCATGCCTATAAATTATTCAGAGATAATTCAAAATAAGTGTGTACTTTGAGAGACTGTCAAGTTTCTTAATGCTTTTTCCTGATAACAAGTGCTATGTTTTTGATAAAAGGTCGCTCGTTTCTCACCACACTTTATTGTTGCTCTCTGCATGTTTTCTGTTTTGTTTGTTGTTGTTGTTTGTTTTTGTCCACCCCCACCCCCTTCCCCCCAGAGTCCAGTCTGGCTCTTATCTCAGCACAGGATGGTTCACCTTCATTCTGGCCATGGATGCCTGTTACAGCATTCACGTCTACGGGATGATAAATGACACCTACTGCAGGTGAGATCGCAAGAAATTATTTTTATGCGTCTCCAATTCTGATACCTTGTCAAAATATCACAATTGATTTTAATACCATAAATCTGAGAAAGAGAGAAAGCAACAATTATTTCCCAGTGTTCTTTGCTGACATGACATTTTATTGTCAGTGCATCAAGTTGTGACTTTTAGGGGTGATAAAAAGAAAAATATTTACCACAGTTTAATGTGAAATGTCAGAAGGAGCATTTTTCCCTTAATCAGTGGCGTATCAGGGACGTGTGGCTTGGAAATACAGAACAAGCTTAGCGGTTATTTAATTTGCAAAGCAAGTTTGTCATCGCTCCAGTTCTAATGGCTTGATAGATGGCTTCTACTCAATGGTTATATTTGATTATGAAGGACAAATGTCCTGAAGCCTCAGAGAAGCTGACAGCTTAACAAGAATTCCTGGAAATTGTATTTCACTAATAAGTGAGTAATCTGCCAGATCCTTATTTAAAAGGGGTGTGTTTATCCACAGTATATCCTTGCTGGTGGGATATTTCTAATTATTTAATAAAACAAACCCTCATGCTTCATCAAGGTAATGTAATATATTTTCCTACCAACAATTGGCACAATATAAGTCAGAGACTGCTGTAATCACATTGTCAAAATGGTAACTAAGCCACAATCTTTATGATCAAATATTTCTACCAGAACTATAAGCATAATGGAGCACAGATGAACCAAATATCTTACTCTGAAAAATCACCAAGCTTCTTTGTGTTCTGCAGGCGCATCAGGTTATCCAAAGTTTGCTTCCATTATATACCATTTCCTCCTTCAGAGGATAGCTATAAGTTTGAATATAACTGGTGTGATATATAAATTTTATTTGATTTATTAAAGCACTAAGGACCTGGTACATCTTCTTAAAAGCTTTTATACATAATAGCTTTTAACTGAGTTCATGGACAAGAATCATGCATGGGTTTGCAAGTAAATGCATTTACTGGGCACATAATGGATTCTTGTAAATGAATGCTTCATTCTTCATCTCAATCTTTCTCTTTTCTTTTTTTTTTCTAGGACAGAAGGGTATAGAAAAGTCCCCTATCATTACTATGAACAAGGAAGAGATGAGTGTGATGAATATTTTCTTCATGAACATGCCCCATACGGGGGGCATAGGTTTATCACTGAAAAGAAAGTGTTTGCTAAATGGGCCAAGAAACACAGGATAATATTTACACACCCGAACTGGACAGTGTCCTGATGTTGGTTTTTCTGATCTTGCCATACCACTTGAGGTAATCATGATGCTGCAACAGTGATGCGAATGATGACGACGGTGATGATAAAGACAACAACAATGATGTTCAAGTTTCTGTACATCCTCAGATATGAATGGTGACTCTGCCTGTCATTTGAACTTGGGATTCCGTGGAGGGTGGTTGTGCTCATTGTGTTCTTTCTGAAGGTTCAACATTACATACTGCACTTTATAATTTAACTGGAATTGAAATGAAGGCCAGTAACATGACAGCAGTGACCTAAGAAATGGGAAGATTATCCTTCAAGATAGCTGCCCAGAATTCTTGAAAAGTAAGTAACTTCCAAAAGCCATGGGATTTGGCCTCATGAGGCAGTTTTTGACTCTATAGTCTCTTGAACCTGAGCAGCTCCACCATCTTGAAGAATGGTTGATCGTCGAACACTGACCCAAGAAATGCTCTCTGGGTACAAGCATATTACTGCAGTTACTAGTTAGTCTGAGGGCAGGGGAGAATCTCTTCCTGACATACTGTCTTCCTACAGTACCTCCTACAGCTAAAGCCTCAGGCCATTTCCTAATTAACAATGATGATGTCATGGACATCATACCCATCAAGATTAGTTGACTATCTCAAACACTTAATTCAAAATGGGCCAACTAGCAAATCTTGATGAATTTCCACTCTCACCACTCCATTCTTACTACCCCAAACAATATAACTAAACATGTTACTAGAATGATCTATATTAATGTTTAGTTATTTTTGGTTGAGTCCTAAGTATTTCAGAAGCTATTTAACATGTAAGATATCAACACTGTAATAACATATACTGTGAAAACATTCTTAAAACATAACCAAAAGGATTTACTAACTCTGCTTCAACATCCAACAAAACAAAACTGTATGCTTTTAAAATCACAAAACAGGGAAAACAAAGCATATTTTTACATCAATTTGTATCCTACCATACTTCATAATATATATTTGTATATTCCAATTTCTATTTTATAGGCCCAAGATGTCTCTCCTTACATTACATTACCATTTCTAAGTGCCAACTGTTAGACATGGAGAAGAAATGCTTCCTTGTATTAAATCTGACCAGAACTTTTGCCTTCTTAGGGTTTATTTTCCCCACAGTGTATCAGTTGTTGTACCATAATAACAACAATAATAATGACCTTAATGTCCAAAGTGCTTTGTCATTCAGAGCCCTGTCACATATGCTGTCCCATGCAATGCCCATGACCACCCCACTGGGCTATTGCCTATGCATTCTGACATCTCCTTGGCAGATAATCTGTAATTTGTTAATTCCTCTGATATATTCCAGATTGCTCCCCTTGCTAATATTTGTATAGAATAGCATTTATGTAGAGTAGTAGCTAATTGATTTCAGTACCAAATACAATATACCATATCAGGATTATGCAAAAAGTATCACAAGGATGGTCTTGGCCATAGACTAGGACCTCTGTGAACATAGGTACTTTTGATTTTTTTCTTTTAATGACTCTATTTCGGTGAGGAAAAGATGAGGAAGCAGAGGCAACAGGAGGGAATGAAAGCAAAGAAATACAGTTTCCTGTTCCCATCTTGAGATGACTCTGTTCTCCATATACTCGTTGCTCATTAAATATTCGAAGGTCGATTTGCCGAGAAAAGAGCTGAAAGACCAAAAACATTCTTGCAAATAATCCAAAAGACAAAAGCCAGGATTAATTTAAAAAATGTTTTGGAAGCTGGAAGTGATGATGCATTCCACTTCAGGAGCATTTTGCAAGTCCTTCCCAGTGCTAATTCCTGTGATGAATTATCATTAAAATGGGACATTTGGGCAAGTCTCTTTCCTGCTCTTCTGCCATTTTGATACCCAGGACTCAGATCCATAAAAATTAGCAAGCACCACTTCCATTGTTGGAATTGTTAATGTTGTTATTCTTTTTTTGTTTCCTTATGTGATTTTCAGTTCTATGTATGTTAGTTTTTTCTAGCTAATGATGGATAGAAATGCCCACTCAAAGAAAAATAAACAGATACAAATGTTACTATTGTAATACAGACTGTTTTTCTCCCCTGTTGTGATAGAGAATTTCTGCTTTTAAACAAAAAGGAGCCATTAGTTATCAGAAGGCTGCAGGATATCGCATAATTTAATTTATTTAGTTTTCTGGTAATGAAGGACCAACTCGATTTGTCTTAGCCCTTACTAATGAGAAACTTTTGAAAACTTCCTTGCCCTCCTGCCTCACTCTAGCTTTCTCTGATGAAAGAGACTTTCCAATGCCCTGTATCCCTCACTCTAGGGCAGCAGGTGTGTGTAGAACAGGTAGTGTTTCCTTTGGAGGAGAGAAGGTGGCCTCCTGTCTCCTCTCTCCTCACCTCCTCTTCCTTCCCTTTTTTTCCTTAACTGAATGCCAACTCTTTTTTTTTTTTTGATGAGGAAGATTCACCCTGAGCCAACATCCACTGCCAATCTTCCTCTTTTTTGCTTGAGGAAGATTAGCCCTGGGCTAACATCTATGCCAATCTTCCTCTATTTCGTATGTGGGTTGTTGCCACAACATGGCTCGATGAGTGGTGTAGGTCCACGCCCAGGATCCAAACCTGTGAACCCAGGCTACAGATGCAGAGCTCACCAGACTTAACCATTACACCACAGGGCTGGCCCCCGCAACTGTCTATTTTTTAATTGTTGTATCTTGTCTCTTTTTTTCTAAAAGTTGGAAACAAAAAACACTGTTCTCAGTTTGGAGACCTAACTGGATAATAATTTCCAGTGTAATCAGCATTTTGATAGAATCTCATGATTTATTTTTGTCTATAGTCTTAATTTTCTCGGCTTCCATTTCCTATTCTTCTTTACCTTAAGCTTCCTAATTCTAGTGGAAATACACAGTCTAATTTTTCCCATGTTGAGGAGAAATTTTCCATCTAAGATTTATTGACAGAGAAGAACATGGCAAAAAAGCAATTCAAGGAGAGTACTTTGTCATGCAAACGTCTGGTCAGTTCCACAGGTTCTAGTCAACTGAAAGAGATGTCATCCAGCACTTAAACATCAGGAAATTTAAGTGAACTCACTCATCATTGATGTGTATGTATCCCAGAAGTTAATTAACGTCTGTAAAAATTAAAATATTTCAGTACCATCCAAGGCTCTAAGCAGATGGACTATGGACAATGGCCACAATTTGCTAAAATCTGTATTAAAACAAGCAAGCTAAGAATAACAGAGTGCATATTATTTTTAATTCTACAGAATCCTAGAAAAAAAGCAGGAAAATTTCAAAAGAGTTTTAAAATGAATGTTTAAATCCCTTCTAAGTTAACCTAGTGAGAAACCACAATGATTTATATTGTTATGATGGTAACGCAAATAAGAAACCTTTAGAATACATGATTTTATGTTGCTATCAAACCTGTCAAGAAAAACCAACTTGAGGGGTTGTTTGTATATATGAACAAAGAGTCAATTTGTGTGTGTGTGTAGAAAGACATACATGCAATTCTATATTTTTCACTAATGTGTATGACTCACAGAAAATCTATTTTAGACTTCATCTGAAATTTGTTGGGTTACATTTTGAATCTTGATTTAAAAAAAGCAAAAATCCAAATTAAGTGTACTGATTGCTACTAGTACGTAAAATCATACTCAATGGCCAGAATAATAAAGCTAGAGAAGCTGCTAAATCTAGAACTGAGAACACAATTAGACGCCACAGTTGTCGCAAATCAGACCTGTAAGCACAGCAATCTGTATCGTAGGCTCTGCCGACTGCAGCTCAGCTCAAGTCACATTGAAAAACATCGCATCAAGCTTCATTCACACTGAATGAATGAACATCGGGCACCCGATTGAAATAAGACTGTCTTTAGCGTAAGCAAACTCAGATTTGCATGATTTTTATTATATGGCTACAGAAGTGTGACCATTCTGAAAAAAGAAAATTATATAAGGAGATTGCTCTTTGAGGATTTGGAATGAATCCGCTGATGTGGGAGCAAGAGTCTGAATTGGAGACTTGCTGACCTTTCCAGAAGTATAAAGCCATCAGAAGAGAATCACTCATTATTTCCTTAGAAAAAAGACAACACTAAAGTACTTCACCTGGCGGTGTTAACTGGATATTAATTATAAGCTCAGTTTAATTTTAATACACAAGAAAATATAATCAGATGGCTTAATTCTTTTTTTGTTTACTACATACCCATCTAGTGTTCAATGTGGCATGTCAAATGCAAACTAACTATGTTGTCCAGTGTCAGTTATTTGCGTGTCTTTAACACAACAATATGATTTACAGCCCCAGGGCTGTGAGGGAAAAAATGCTTTTCCCTTAACTGAGATTTTAAAAGGCAAGACCTCATCATTTTAATAGTGTACATAGATCCAGTGACTGAAGGAGCCACCGCTCGCCTTTGTAAGTCGTCTGGACTTTTAGAGCTGCAAGGGGCTTTAGAGACCAGCCACTCCAACTCTTGCATCTTGGAGTTGAGGAAATAGACTATAGAGGTGAAGTGACTCGCCCGTGACTATAAAACAGACTAATGGCCTTACTGAAACTTAAATTCTTATCTCATGTCTCCTTCTTTCATACTTTTCCACTACATTTTTTTTTTAAGCACAGAACAGTAGCTGGAAAGATGCATAAATGATTTACCAGAAGAGTTGATTCCTGGAAACCAAGGGTTCCAATTAGTGTTGATTCTACTCCTGATCAGAGAAACCCCCTCAGTGAAGTGTATAATATTCATAAAATGGAAGGAATATCCCAGTAACTGTTGATAGTCTCTATTATCTCCATTTGCTGCTAATACTGGGTCATGTTGCACTATCATGAAATTCTAGGGCTAGTTAAGGAATGTAAAAGTCATTTTCTTACTTCTTTTATTATTAAAGATGATGAAGCCACGGTCCACCTAAGAGCTGTTGAGTATGGAGTTAGCCTCCTGTAACTGTCAGGACCGGTTACTGAATTATCCTGAGAGCCTAAGTGTCCTCATCCTCAAACCAATTCAGCTGCCTGGGTTAGTGAACTAATCCACCTGCACTGGTTGGAGAAATGTTACCCTTTGGTTTCACACTCATCTCTGCGCTGCAAATGATCTTTGAGCCCACATACTCTTCTGGAAGGTAAATCAGATCTCCAAATGCCCCATGAGACTCAATCACCATGCAAGAGTGAAAGGTTTTTTTTTTCTTTACAGGCCACTCATATGATAGTTAGAAGAGGAGAATTTTCAAACTACATTCACTAGGCTCTGAAAATGGTTCCCGTGTCTTAGAAATAGCATATTGTTCTTTCTCTTGTTTTTGCTGAACCTTAGAGAAACCACTAGAGTAAAATTCCATGTAAATTGCTATGGCATCGGATCAGAACTGTCCTTGGGCATCATCACATTGCAGAAAACCTCAATTTGTTTTTTTTTTTTAAGTTCTCTACTTTTTTTTCCTTGTCAGCACAGGCACAATTTGTTTATGGAGTAAAAAGTTCTTCTTTCTCCAAAGATATGTCTCCTTTTGTTCATGCCTTGGAGACTGCAGAAATATAAAAGCTCACTTTCATAAAAGTGAAGAACATCTTGAAGAATAAATAGCCAACTGCTAAATTCATATATTTGCCTACATAGTGAACAGTTTCTTCTAAGAAACTCCAACGGGACCAGAACCAGGGCATTTCATGGTTGCTTCTTACAGAACCTACAAAGTACTAATTTCCTTGTGTTTAACTTTGTTGTCATTGCTCCTGAGCAAATACCCATTTCTATATGCTTCACTCATTTTTCTGAGTTCACACAATTTTTGCTGTACTCTCTCATTCACTTTAAAAACCTGTAATCTTCATCATTTATAGAAGAGACTGTAAATGCACAGTTGTGCATTTGGTGAGGTGTTTTTTTTCTTTTTTGTTTCTGGCATCACATTGTTTTATTTATAGGCACCATGCCTTAGAATAAAGCTTACTAAGTGGCAAAGGGCTACTGTATATTTCAGTTTGGTTTACTTTTATAACAAGACACGTGAGGAGATGTGAACAAAACGAGAGAGGATTTGTCATTAAAGGGGAAAAAAAATAGGGCGGCAGTGGCAGAAGAGAGAGATTCAATATACTCAATATCCAAGGCAGAATGATGTCTAGAAAGAGTAGTCTTTCTTTCTCTTCAGCTCCCAACATTTCTCTTTCTTTCCCAGTACTTTCCACTCCTTGACATTATTTGCTTTAAAATATACAGAAATTCCCTTAATGCTAACAGTATTTCATATCCTATACTTCTTTCTCACCTAATAGGAAACTATTTGCTGTCTTGGGAAAAATGCTTTTCATGTTAGCGTATAAATTTTCTTAGTTTGTCCATTGAGAGAGATTAGTTGAGACTCTAACAACAAAACAATTAGAGAAGAGAATCTACCAATGTTTACCTTCTTCGTAATCAATGTGAAATTCCTTTTAAGGACAAGAAACTATAGCACCTGGCTGGTAAATGACATAGGTTTGAATTTCTTTCTAACAGTTATAACTGGTGATGATAATATCTTAAGGTGCTTTACAGGGATAAATTGAAGTTCTTACTATCCCTAAGCCGATGGCTAAAATTCTTGAATAACACAAGTGTACAGCATACACGAGCAGCATCTTACACCAAGCATTGTTAAGAGTTCTTGCATCTGTCATTGGTAAAACCTTTCAAATACATATTTTCCATGCTTATGAAATCACTAAAATATCTACAAAATCTTCCAAAATAATTTTCCTCCAAATGCCTAAATTTCCCACAAAGTATAACACGGACAATGAAATTTACGTAGAATGGGCTTCCATCTTCAGTGACAGTTTTACTACAAATTAAAATAGCTTGTCCAACACATCTTTTGTTGGTGCAGATTATAATGGGTTTCATCTCTAGAAAAAAAGGGCATACTCTGCAATCTTTGATGGATAAGAGGGCATTAATGTTGGATCAGGACATTAATGTCATGCAAATCCATCTGTAGATCATGCAGAGCTGTGGGTGGCTCTTCAATATGGAACAATAGAAGAAG